AATTGTAACTGGCTGCTAAAGCCTTCCACAGCCGGAGGGACTCAGGGTATAATAACATTTGTTCAGTTAATTCATCCAAGATTTTAAGGATTTTATTAAAAGTTCCTAGTTTCTTAGTCTCGTTGAGGTGATAAGTGAAAAGTCTTGCTTCGAAGTTCAGACGTCTTGGATTTGTGACCTGTTCCAGATGATAGGCGAAGTTAAAATGCAAAGGCGCTGCCTCGAGGTGTGTAAAAGAAAATAGAATTAGTAATAATCGTAGTACCACGCTTGCATTATAATTATAATCAAAAAATTTACCATCGAACACCGTATAGCAGTAAAAAAACAAATAATTTTCTTTAATTGAAATTTTTATTTCAAAACTGCAAAACACAATTATTGACCATTGCATACGACGGTATTTTTATCATCATCGGATGCTTATGGAGCATAGAAATTTCCTTCTCTCCTGTGCATCGATGGAATTTTGAGTAGGAAATTGTAGTAAAGCTGTTTTCTACATATCCTCGGCGCCGGGACTTCCATTTCCGCGGTAAACTTTAACAAAGAGAAGTTTTGGCTGTCAACTAGTTTACTAAAGATTACATTTTTCTACAAGGTTTCTACAGCCCTTCTTCCTTTTTCTTCTCGACAATCACAGATTGGAGAGCAGTAGTGTCACAGTTGTCAAAGGTCAAACAAAGAAATATACCGTGTTAAAGTGGTCTTAGGTTTGCCTGAGGGGTTTGAATAGTATTTTCAACTATTATGCTAATTCGATCAAAAAAATTGAGGAACTGAAAATAGTATCTCATTGAACATATGTTATATTTGAAGGTTGCTCAGCTGTTCGCTTTCACCACTTGTAGATCTCATCAAAGGAATATTCGATTCCTAGCTATCGGCTTAGTTTCAGCTCCAGGTGAACTTCTATGCTAAATTAGATTGAAAAAGTGCATTCGTTTTTTTTTTGAAAAATGCTTCAATTGATTTATAAACCCACATTCACCTCCAATGCATTACATTTACGTAATTTATGACTATCTATATGCAGATCAAACAATCACTTGAGATCACTCGTTTGAAGGGACTTAATATTCGGTTCATTGATCACATTCTGCAAAAATCAGAAAATTTGTCAAATTAGATTCATTTACTAATTGGGACTACAGGAATGCTTTGAAAGTATTAATAATAAACAATCAAATGAGACTTCCTTTTCTTTAGCGTGTTTAATAGTCAGTTTAGATTGATTGGTCCAATTATGATGAATCCAGTCAAAACAAGCATCTTGCTGTATGTAAAATCGCGATATCTGGTAAGATTTATCCTATTTTCTGTGGTTGTGCCGGCAAAAAGAGATGTTAGAAAGAAAGCGTTGAAAAATGCTTTAACAGCTTTCAAGCTTGTTACCTACTCGTATATCGGTAGCCGCCATCATTTTTAGACGATGTGGGGAATCGCAAAGTTTATGGTAAGTATGAGAAATGTAAGGCAGCTGCAAATGTAAGTCAAATTTACTTAGTTGATAGGGATCCCTTGCAAATTAGCTTGCAATAACGATAATATTGATGTCATTGCTCCAAATCTGCTTTATTTATTTATTTATTTCCTATTCCGTATCGAATAAATAAATGGGTAGCGATAGTAGACCAGACGATAGCAAATCATCAAA